CTAGAAGATACCTGCGGACAAACCCTGAGGTCAGGACTGAACTGCATTGTTTCTGGCAGGGGGCTCACCTGATTGAGCTTGGACATTCAAAATGTATTTCTTTGTGACCAACATGGGTGTGTCATGGATGTCTCTTGTTTCAGGGCCGGTTTTCCTGTTGCTTTATTTTCACCAAGCAACAATTATACTGTTCAGAAAAACCACACCCATGTGGCAAGTGTCCTTCAGGAAACGCTTTGAACCAACCCAACGGGCAAGGCCCAAAAATTGAAACCACACTCGTCTGGGCTTTGAGCATGTGGGGCACCAGTGATGTCTTGACGTAGCTAAAAACCATCATACCTTCTGACTCAACTTCCATCCCGTTGACAGATCTGAAAACGCCTACTACTGTAGATGGAGAAAATCTGCCGGCTGGTGCAGGGTGTTGCAATTCCGCGCAGTATTGTAGGTGTTGGTTCCATTCTTTTTACCCGTCGTCTTTTTTCGATACCAGCCGGTGTCCAGGGTTTCCAGGAAACCCTAGAAGGATCCCTGGAAAGACTGAAGGTACCCCTAGCAGTAGGTTGAACAACCTCCTTTTGGCTCCCCTTGGGTTCAAACCAAATTCTGCCCGCGCCTGGCCTTGAGGGCAAAACGCACCACACACACACACACACACCGAAGTTCCGGTGTAGCTAAATTCAGTTCTCTCTTTGAACCAGACCTGCGGCAATGGGAAAACTAGAGGGGTGACTGGATGGAAACCCAAATCAAAGAGTTTCCATTGAAACGATCGCCACAGTTCCATCCATCCATTCATCTATCCATCCGTCCATCCATCCATCCATCCACCCACCCATCCGTCCGTCCGTCCATCCATCCATCCATCCATAACGGAGGAAATCCTGAACAAGGGCACCAAAGCTGCTTCAGCAGAAGTAGGACTATTCAAGTGAGCCCGAATTCAACAACTCTGGACCTAAGGGAATCGAAAGACTCGAAATTATCCAAGCTGAAAAAGGAAATGCCCCAGTGGAAGTACAAATTTTAGATGGAAATGATAAAACCCTTCCATTTCAAAGGTCACATATCTTTTAAACCAATTGGGAAGTCAATTGTTTGGAAGATGATGTTTGTCAACAGCTGAAAGCTTTGGGATCCTTGTCCAAATAAGCTCTGGGGTAGTTCGGAGTTGCTTTCAGGGAGGGTTCCGCTGGGTTCCGCTGCTGTGAATACCACCTGGGCTTGTGTAAACAAATCGGCAGTTTATTCAGCTGCCCTCTAATTGATGTTCTGGATAAGCGGTTTGCAGATTAGGGGCTGGCTTCCCCCAATCCAAACCACCATTCGTGGAAGCTCTGAATGTTCATTCTAACACACGCAAGATAGTCCGCATTTGCATGGAAGCATGTAGTAAATGACGCTCAACGAAGGGTTACTTGATTTGTCACTTGGAAGTTATTTTCGGGCAACTGGGACTACAAAACGCCGGACCATCTCAAAAAAGGAAGCACCCCGCTGCAGAGCTCCAGACGTGTGTCTTACGTCACTTTAGACGGAAACTCAACTTAGCCAGAGGGAAACAACCCACAAGCCAGGGAGGGAGCAACCCGCAAACCAGAATGGAAAAACCCACCCAAAGTGAACATATACAGAACCTTGGGTTGTAACTTGTAACCAGGGGGGAGCAACCCACAAACCAAACCGGAAAAAAAAAAAAAAAAAAAAAAAAAAAAAAAAACACCAAACATGAACATATGGCTTGTGCCAGCCAGCGCGTTCTCCAGTCGAGTCGCTTGCCCTCAAGGCCCAGCTTGGTGTGGAAGAAGCCCACCCGCGTGACCACGGACTCCGCCAGCCGCGAGAAGACCTGGGGGGGGGGTCGGGGAGTAGCTTAAGATGCAAAGGGTAAAGGGACTTGGATCGAGAGACTCTCAGCGTCCGAGGGGTCGGCAGGGTTGGAGGTTGAATAAATTGTTGGCTAAGTTTACTGCAGGTCAAGATTCGGTGGGGTCGTCCAAGTTAGGAAGCTGTAACGGTGAGCTAGATCATAACCCCGTAGTCGTCCCCCGTGAATATGGGATTCACCTTGTTACAAGGGGGTTATGACCCAAGTGGCTAAGAACTTGCGAACTTGGCCGAACATCCAAGAAGCGTCCAAGGGTTTAAGGGTATAGATTGTTCAGCGGGGTTCCAATGATACTCTCCAACATATGCCTCAGAGGTTCGCTCATCTGGTTTCTGTGGAACATCTAGTGAGTCGCTACCATTCATTGTCTTCACCGATCACATTGGCCTATTGAACACTACAGTACTTATATGGCTCATATGGTACCTCATGTTTCAATATGTTAGTGTGTTCATTGAAAAAGTGGTTTCGGCCGAGCAACAGGCATAGTAAAGATAAACCGAAAGCCCATGTCAGGTAACTTATCGCCGTTGGTTCCCCAGTGGACAGTTGCGGCTCGTCCTCTGAAAATTGAGTGAGTCCTTTTAATGTCCCCCAGAAGAATCTTGGATTGATCGTTTTGCCCGAACCTGCGCGCATAGGACCATATCCTTTACTTCCTAAGTGGATTGGGCAAACACGGCGCCATTTCGGCGTGCATCAGAGGAATGATGGGAAAATAACTTCTACTTTGTAATGTCTGTTTAGGAGTCTTTGAGGGATTTCCTTTTTGGATGCGTCCAAAAGACGAAAACATGTGGAAAAACAAACGGATCATCATCATCTTCCGGGAATTCGAGAGCCCTGGGGGCCTCGAAGATGGAGTTGTTGGACTTGGCGTGGTTCTTCATGTCGAAGGGCCTGAGAAAGGCTTTTCCCGGGCTGGGAGGAAATTCCAGGAGAACAGGAGGCCCTTGTGTTGGTTGTTCGGAAGCCAGGCAACCCCCGAAACTGGGATCAGACTTAGACCCTAAGCCAAATCAGTTGGTAATAGCTGAGCTCACCAACTAGAAGGTCATGGGCGCAGCGTTGTGTAACTCATTCGCTGATTCGAATGGAGGGTGGAACATTGGCGGCCGGGTCTCGTTTGGAAACCAAACGAAACAGTGGTTAACCAAAACCGATCTCAACAAAACCCACGGAAACTCACATGAAATCGATTCACCCTGGTTCCGATTTCAACAAAACCCATGGAAAACATCGCCTTTTAAAGGCCTGGGAAGCAAACCTCTCAAAGCCCTAAGGTGTAGAGGTTTGAAAGCGGGGGGGGGGGGGAAGGGGGGTCCCCAGATATTTGCCCATTTTGCTTGTGCCCTTTCTGCGTTTTACAGCTTGGGCTGCCTTCGCTTACAAGCTGCGGCCCCCAAGCCCACCCCCACCCCCAAGCCCACCCCACCCCACCCCAACTCCCCCCCCCCCCAAACCCCCCAACCCCCAGCACCCCCCCGACCCCCAGCACCCCCCACCCCCACCCCCCCACCAATCCGCCCCCAAGCCCGCCTGTACATGATCCGGACCTCTGGTGGCAGCTCCCGATTCATGCGCTCGATGGCGGACTCGAAGTGCTTGCTGAGCCGCACCTCGTAGCTGTCCACCTTCTTCGCCTTCATCAGGTTCACCACCAGCCTCGGCTCAGGAACCCTACGTCTGCTGCCAGGAAGCCACGGATTTTTTGGGGGAAAAAGCTGCCAGGACTCAGGAGACGTTCGTCTGTCAAAGGCTGCCGCGGGAAGGTGCTGCCAGAAGGAAGCCACGGTTGGGGGAAGAAGCTGCCAGAATGAATTCACGGAGGTTGGGTTCAGGAAGGAAGCCACAGGGCAAGGGTAAATGAAAGCTCCTCCCGAAAAAGCCATCTCTTTGCTTCAAATGCAACCTGTCTCCCATCTCACCACCTAGCATCACCCTGCCGAAGTAAAGCTAGCGCCTTCCCCATTCTCTTCAGGGATCCTTCTCTTCAACACAATCCCTGCGAAACAAGGGTAGTTGGGTACTTTACTTCTTGTTCTCTCCCACTTGAGCCATGGCCAAAGGGCGATTCAATCGCCTCCTTAAGCACCTCGAGGAACCCACAGACTCGTCGCAACCCTTGAATCCCGCTTGCCGCTTGCCCACACTCTCAGGCAATACCTTTGTCCTTTGCTTTCTTTTGGAGGGTGGGTCCCCCCTTTTGTCGGCATGAATTCACAAATTTTCGCAAAGCCTCTCGCAAAGCCCAACCTTTGACAGCTTGGCCAGACTTCAATCTGGCCCCAAAAATGTTTGCGTCACTTTGGGATGTCCAAACAAGGAAACTTGGAGGGACAGCAAACAGGCATCACCTGATGAAAGGGCCTTCACACTTAGAATGATTCGTGGGGGGGTATAAATTATGAGTAACGAGTTCGCCCCCTCATATGCCATCCAGCCTTCGAGTCCTGTCATAACTCTTTTTAGGAATTTTGTTTGTGCAGCGAAGGGAGTGGCCAATCCGAATCCATGAATAGCCAACTCTATTCCGCTTGTGTGTGTGTTGAAGGGATCCTCCGAGATGGTGGGCTTCCTCTGGTGTTTCTAAAAAAAAGAAAAAGGTGCCTAGGTCCTCCAGTAGAGAGGTTAGAATAAGGGTACCCGATTTTGTTCTTCTGTAGTCTATTTTAGTAGCAAAACCCTCCCCAAAAAAAGGGGAGAGAAGGGCACCTAGCTGGGCGACCTAGGTGCCATCTACAAAACGACGAGCACCAACGATCGGACCCGAGGCGCTGAGGAGTGCCATACCTCTCCAACAAGTCCACAAAGTGCTTCCGCGTGGCCGACAGCGTGGGGTCGCACCTTCAAATTGTCGAGATCTTTAGATGTTTTGTTTCTTGAATGAAAGGCCTATGTTAGGAAGAAGGTGTGTTGTTGGAATCAAAGGTCCATTTTAGGAAAATGGGGTTATTTATTGAATTAAAGGACTTTCTTACTACCTTCAGATATTCGTTAGGTCGCTTTTGAAGGAACATCCTGGTTGCTGAAAATTGCGGACTTCTCCCCCAAACCGACAAATGGGCAAAAGGTGTCGTTTGCTTTTCCGAACGAACGAACCTCTTTTTGTTGCCTCCAAAGGGTGACTTTCCCATGCAAAAATTCCCAAAAAAGATACAGTCCCAAATCTCTGCTTTTGGCCCACTCGTCCAAACCACCCTTTCAGCAAGCCGGTGATTTTCGGCAAGATCACCAGCTTGAGTATCCTTGCAGGCCTGCAACCACCCCCGCCTTCATGACTCCACCAACTGGCACTCCGGTAAATCGAAAACGGCATGAGGGGCCACTAAGAAAAACCATCATAGTTGGCGGCAAAAGATCAAGATACGGCAAATGTGGTTCAACAAGTGCCACAAAAGGCCCAGTTGAGTCACAATCAAAGCTCAAACGTCAAACGGTCTACGCAACAAAAATCCAAAGAATTACAAGGGCAAATCTCCAGCATGGTTGAGATTCGGATTGGCCAAAACTCCTTCTACCCTGGCTTTGAGGATGCGCATGTTTGAGTATGAATTGGCTGTAAACAAGCCTCAAACAGGAAACCAACAAAAAAAACACGCACGCCCGGGAAAGTATGTCAGGGGCAGAATACGGCAGAATGCGCTCCCCTAGTTTACCCCTACAATGACTACGTAAACGTGGTGTGAACAAGTACGAGACCATATCCCAATACTTCACCGGTCCTCAAATAAAACCGAAAACCTTTGGTGCCCCAAAAAAAGACCAGCCCAACCATCAACCACAGTCAACAAGTGTATCCAGCCTAACTGTTTTGGGTTTGTCTCAAACTAGGAATCGAACCCTCAAGATGGGTTCTCCTTTTGATCCCCTTAAAAACCCCACCCCAAAAAAAGGTACCAACTCACAAAAAAAAAAAAAAACGACGAGCACCCCTTGGGTTTCCCTCCAACTCCACCACGAAAAATTCCCACGCCACACCAGTCACGCCAAACCCCCTCGCTAAACCGAACCCCCGCTGCGTCCCGTCCAATTCCTCCCGTCCCAAAAACCTCCGGGCCTGGGATAGACCACCGGGGGCTTGGGGTTGTAGGCCGCCGCCTCCTGGGACCAGAAGAGCGGCACGCTGCCCCGGATCCTTTCCGACTCGACCGCCCGGGCGCCCGAGGCGCCCGAAGCGCCCGAGGCGCCCGAAGCGCTCGCTCCGAGGGCTCGGCTCCGACCGATCCCCATGGATCGGCCGGGAGGGAAAAAAACGGGGGGGGGGGGAAACGGGGGTGGGGGGGGGGGGGGGTCTTTTTTTGTTTTTCTTTTTCTGTTTTCTTTTCTTTTCGGATCTGCGCAAGAAAGTGAAGAACCTTTTAAGTGGAATGAGATGGAAGCCCATCCACTCCACACCTGAAAACCTCAAAAACCTACGGGGACGGCTGGGAACTGCCAAGATCTTTAGAGGGGTCCGAACCAAAAAGGACAATTCCAGTGTCAGAATCAAAACCTGGTTGCCCAAGTGCGAGCGGATATCCGCACGAATTTCTGATTGAGACTCCCTGACATTTTTTAGCCTACCCAGGTTTGGTTGTGCCTCGATTGGGTATATCTTAGACTTATTAGGAATCCGAAACAGGCCATCAACCTGAGGAGATCTAAGTTTGAGAAACACCCAATATCACCTAATCTTCCTGCGGCCAAGGGAAGTGGTTGGCAACCTAGGTCGCTAAGTTCCAGCGCATAAATGCCTGCTACATGGGCTCCCTGGGATATTGATCAGTTGGCGAATCAACCAGGGGAAGTGTGCCATCGCATTTCAGGGCACCGGGTGTCCAAAACTGGCTTCGGTCATACAAAGCCGACCAACTCCAAAATGGCTTCTGTGTTCCTTGCGAGAAACCGAAAGTACTTGGATGTTCCGCCAGGTTAGCAGGCGGTTAGGTTGCAAGCCGCCAACATCAGGCCCCAATAACATGGTTGGCCTCACTGACGGGGGAACTTATAAGTCAGGGTAAGCTAGGTTGCCGTTACAACTTGCTAACTTAGCAACGAACACCCAAGTAGGCTCCATTAACTGATCCCTATCAAAGTCACCCCTCTGGGTGGTGGTTCGGGGGTGGGTCAAAGGGACACCGCCCAGTTTTTGACTTTGACAACCCCTAGAAACAGTCAGAAAAGTATGACCACAGGGAAACCGAACATTTGTTCCCCCATATTTGGCTGTGGCTACCTCACCACAGGGAAACCGAACATCGTCCCTAAGCAAATGGAAGCAAGACTTCAACTCAACACAATAGCCAATAACCTGACCACAGGGAAACCGAAAAGCGTCCCTTAGCAAATGGAAAATCGTCCTATGCAAATGGAAGCCAGACAAACAACCTCGTCCGAGTGGCTGTACAAAGCTCATCACGTGGCCGCTGGCGAAATTCCGCGTGGAGTCGTCGCACAACAACTGCTCCGTCTCTACGTCGTTGCCCACCTGAAAAGCATCGAGCATATGGGTACCTCAAAAACAAAGAGACCCACTATACATGTATCTCTTTTTGATGAGATACAGGAGAAGCCACCAAAACGGCATGAGTGCTGAATAGGGACCCGTTGGTGGACATAAGACTTCGGTGGGGGTTTAGGTCCAATCAGTTTTCATATGGTTCGCTCTTCCAATTCATTGCCAAACAATGGTCATAACAAACCGTTCTCTATTCAACATGGTGCCTTTGAAGCGCGGGGTATTTGGAGCAACAAATCCAAGTCCACCATTTTGAGGGGGCCCTCAAAATGGAATTTCCCCACCCCCCCCCTCTCCACATCTCTCCACACGCCTCCCCCATCTCTCCTGACATCTCTCGACTCCCCATCCTCCTCCTCTCTCGTCAACTCGCCCTTGGAAAATCTCGACGTGGATGACCCCCAAAAACCTCTCCCCATCTCTCCCCATCTCTCCACATCCCTCGACTCGACTCGCCTGGCCGTGCACATTGAGCCCCCGCTTCCGGTACCGGGTCCCCGCGTAGAAGCGGCTGCGCCGCGCGATCAGCGCCACCGAGAAGGACCAGCCGAAGGAGCTGCACCTCGAAGCCGCCCGCGGGAGGCCGCCGGGAGCTACGGCCATTGTGGGGGGGGGGGGGGGGCTGATGCCCAGTCCCAGACCCATGTAGGTAATATATACCGCAAATACCAGTGAATTCTGTAAACAGGTGTTTTTTTTTTTTTCGGGGGGGGGGGTATATATATATATATATATATGTAATATTATAATATATATATATATATACACATATGATACAATACACATATATATATATATATATTTATGTCTATATCGATATAATTACAAATATACCCACACTTGCCATGTCCAAATAGGCCAAATGTTGGTATAACCTACACTGAACATGAAGAGAACCCCCAAGCCACCAAAAACAAATACATGCCGATCTAGAAATGGATGCGGCGAATCCACCCCTGTAGGATATTAAAAGAAAACTAAAAGAGCAACAACAAATAAAACATGCCTTCTGCGGGAAGAACTCTTGCAATCCACCATTTTCCAGAGCCAAGAACAGTGAAGCAAACCAGGGCCAAGAGTCTAGTTGGCGCCCTGGCTGTCTGAACATATCGAATTTCAGCTCTCCTCTTAGTGGTTTGGTGGATTGGTGGTTCGTAGGTTCCCAGTTCTTTTTACAAGAAAGGAACGGGCTCAAATCCCCAAGCCAACCCAAACCACCAACTGAGGCTTCCCTGAGTTGAAGGGGCTCTGCCAAATATCTAACGATCGGCGGAAAACACCGGATTCTTCTGCCAAGCGATCGGAACCTGCTTTGTTTTCACGGGTTCCCTTGACTCCTATTCGCAAATTCCCAAGTGGACATTGAATTGGCCCAAATGGTAACCGTTACCAGACTGGACGGTGCTCAACAGATCTCGGGATCCAGCTCTTTCCTTATAAGACGAAACTTTTGGATTGGGCCAACCCCAACCTCGTTCAAGATGTCGGCAAAACCGCTACGTGTCCCTTTGAATCCAAGGTGGACTTTCAAACTTGTGGCTTATCATGGCTTATCGCTGCATACTGGCACTGCGCTTTTGTTCGGTCCAATCTAGGGGGATCAGTGAATGTCATGTCCCACAAAATCCAGGAGTCTTCTGGCCAAAGTTGGGTCATAGCACCCAAACTGATTTTCTCTCTTGACCTACCTTCTAAGCAACCCCTAATAAGGGTACCCGCAAAAAAAGGAGAAGCACTTCTCCGCTACCCTCGAACTATTGCCCCAACATTCAATGCCTGTTGTACGAAGAGGCACCGGGTGTTGCCGAAGAAGCCATGGATAATGGAGAGACACCAGTGCTGCCAGCCCTCCTTCGCAAAGAAGGGGGTCATGTGGTAGTGGTTCCACACGAACCTCCGAGACGCCGAAACAAAGAAACATGTGCCTCGAAAGCAATCGAAACAAAACAACAACACGCGACTTGTCTGGCGGATTGACCAAAACAAGTCGTCAGACGTCTTGTTTACCACGAAAATGGCCATCATATTGGAACGACTAGCAACGGAACGACTAACCATCGTGGGTGTCCAAATTTCCTAAGATGTCTGTTGATGACCATCCCTACCAACCCCAAGTACAAGGCCATGCTCGGAGAGTCTGTATCTTGCCAATTTGCGTCCCAAATCTTGGCTCACATCCGGGTACTCGACAAAAATATATATGTTCTGATTATGTTTCATATTTACCCTACCCCAAGACACAACATAGTTTTGGAGGAGACCTGAGAAATATATCGTTGCCTAACCCTCGAGCTAGGGCTTCCGGGATCAAGGCTGCGATCGATCCGCTTTGCTCAGATCCGCACAGTTGCTTGAGAAGACTAACCTCCATTTGCTTAAGTCCCCTGGAAAACATAGAAGTATGTTCAGTAGTGATAGATTCCCTTTTAAAACCAACAGGGAGAAATGGAAAACATATGCTTAACCACATGGAAGCTAACTGCATCAACTGTCTTGGACGCCATTTTAGATGATGCAGCTTCATGGGCTTGAAAACCTGCTTTGCCGAGCGTCTTGCGGCATGTGCATGAAGCAATTCAGTTTGCTACAGTACCTGCAGGTGCTTAAAACTCTTTTTTTTGTCGTGTGTGTGTGTGTCTTGGGACATGTGCCAAAAAAGACATACAGTGGTTTGTTTAGAATGCCACCCTCTGCATCCCCAATTCCTTCGGTCCTTGATTTTGGCCATTGGTTATGGCGCTGGTGTTTGGTTCTTGATACCAGCTTGGCAGTTTCGCATGCTGGGGGTGTCTGCTATGATAGTGCCCTCTTGGATTCGGATGTCCCCTTTTTTCCATGTCAAAACACTCATGGACTCTCCTGAAGGTCCGGTCCCTCACGGGACACCCCCCCCTCATCAATAGCTGCTTCTTGTCATTTAGCTCATTGAACCATTGAACCCTTATTTGGTGGTTTGGGGGATTTGACCCCTGGTCTTTGTAGAGGGTACATGGGAACCACCTTTCCAAACCACCGATTCGGCTCCAAACCTCCAAAAATCGGGGGAAGGAGGCTGATTTTGGGGCCCAAGTTTGGGATCTCTACTGCATGGAGTCGGTTGGTCGGTTGATCCGCCTGTGGTGCTTGTTGGGATCGGTCTCCAGAAAGAGGGGTCGCAGCTTGGGCCCGGTGCTCTTGGCATCCGCCAGGTTCCTGGCGACATTGATTTGGTGGCTTTTTGAGGCAAAAATCAGGGCGGCCTGTGGGTTGGGAAACCCCCTTCCGAAGGGAAACCCGTCCAAAGGCAAAAGGAAACCCAAAACCAAACTAAGAGCTTAATAAGTCAAAGGGAAACTTCAAAAACCAAACAAAAAAACAACAAACAGGAGAAAAGGCACCACTGGGCCTCCCCAAACCCAAACGGTTGGGCACAAAGGTGCTGTTAGGATCAAAGGACAATATGAAGGACCAGCCTGGGGCAAGACTCCAACTCATTCTGATGACCTTGACTCTTGACTGGTGGCTCAGTTTCTGTATGGGTGTGTCCTTTTTTGAGGGTACGCAATTGGTTTGCGGTTTAAAGGGAAACCGAAGGAACACCACCATGCTCGGGGGTCCCTATTTGTCTTGAGGACAAGCCAAACTCCGACCCCCTGCAATGCAAGAAGTTATCACCTTTAAAGGAGAAACTCTTAAAGTCAAGACGACTCGTCTGTCTTAAAGTCTGGCTTCAAGTCCTCTGAAAGGAAAGTCTGGCCTGATTTTAACAAGGCTGGTCAAGTCTGGCAAGGACATATACCTCAGTGGATCCATCGCATGGATCCACAGGGTTGGCTCCATCCTACTCGAACGTCTTATGGTTCGACGCTACCCTCGAGTCATGGTACCTGGAGGGCCCATTCTCAGCGATCCGACAACACAAACCATCATTTGTCTCTGGTTTTTGTCTGGTGAAGAGAAGCATCCCATGGGAAAACGCAGGGAAACCACAGCCTGGAGTTCGTCTGATACATGCCCTCTATGCCTTCCCCTTATGAGTCACGATCAACACCTGGCATTGCAAAAAGGTCAACTCAAACCCATGTTTAAAAAATGCGGCTGCATTGATTTTATGGTCGGGACTTTTCCTAACCTTCACTTACCCGGTGGCTCATATATGAGGCACTTACCTTCCCCGTTCTGTTTAGGGATCCTTCTCTTCGAGAATGAGCCAAACTCTGCGGCAATCGGTCGTTTCCAAAAAGAACAATGGGCGAGTGGAATAGGACATGTTGCGCGACAAATGCAGGGATTGTCTCCAAAACGGCAGTTCTCGTGAGTGTATCTGTGTTGGATTGCCCGCTTTCGATTGGTTTCAAAGGCAGACCAAAAGGAAGCCAATCACCCGGAGGCTCGGGACCGCGGTTTGGAGACAAGCACATCTTTGCAGCTATGGGTTCAGGAGGTTCGGTCAGCATCTTGTGTCAAAACCAAACAAAGGCTCAAGGTGTCCAACTTGTTCACACTTGTGACACTTGTGGTTGTCTTAAAAACGGGGAACACCCGTTTGGTTTCCCTTTGATCAAAGGTAGACGTCAAGGGCTTGGCGGGGCAGCGCTTCGCCCGGCAAGAAATGCAGGAGAATTTGGGGGGATAGCACAAGCCACAACCAATCAAAAGCAGACATGCAGGGACGTCAACCATACTGTGGATGGACGGAATCCGATTCGTACCTCGAAACCATAGTTCAAACCATTGGTTGTTGGTATTACGTTGGGGAATCGTATCATTCCCTTGGGTTCTGAACGGTGCTGCGAAATGGATTTCGTCCAGTATTAAGTATTACTCTCCCATCCACTTGGAAAAAGAACTCCTCGGAAGGTCATGGAAGGCCACCTTTTCTCTAGTGGACCCTTGGGTGACCCGGTTCTTATTTTGGTGGACCAGAGGGTACAGCAGGAAGGGAGCTTCGACCATGGCACGCATCAAGACTCCGCACCCCACGGGCCGGTTTTTCGCGGCTGAGTGGCTGCTGCATGGTGCGCGAAAGCTCATAGGAGTAGGAGTAGTAGAAATCCTTGGAGAGGTTCAGCTTGTGAAACTGATCCTCACATCCACCCATTCAGGGCGGTCTACCTTTTTCGAGTCTTTCAACTAAACTGACTACATTTTGGGAGGGACATATGTGGACTGTGCGTTTCACGCTTTATCCTCAAGAATACCCACTCCTTTCTGGTGATGTATCGAACCCCTTTCCTAGACCCCGTTAAAGGGTCTTCCTTAAAATTTGAAACGTTGGTTTTTGGGGCCCCCAAAAACCAACGCACAAAAGAAAAACAATAACACGGAAAACGGGGCACCACTGGTCACACAACCCTTTGGGGGAGCACCCAACCGCACCTTGGGTGTGTGTTTGGGGATCTGTTATGACGGTTGTGCTGTAGTTTCTGTCCCCAATGGAAAGGGACACGGGCCCGCCACTCAGAAAAGCTACGAAGTGGTGCGTTCCCTTCTGGCTCCTGGTAGCTCCAAGAGGTTCCCTCTTCCGGGTCTCAGCTCCAAGTCCGGCTCCCTTCACTTCAAGTGCTTTGTGTTCAGCCAGCCGTTGCTTTAATTGTTGTTTGGAGCCCAAGGCCCACTTTCAACGCAGTCCAGTTCAGAGGGCCAACCACTTGTCATTTTGTGGAAAGCCCACGGCTAGTCATTGGGGGTGGAAAGCCCACATGGCTAACCACTACCGTGGCAACCAACATCCAAGCAGTTTTAACGAAGTGCTTCATCGACCCTCAATTTGCTTAAATCCCCTGGCAAAGTGAGACAACTTATTTCCAAAGGTGAAATCGATTCCCTTTATATAAAACCAACAGGATTCCAAAGCGCTTCCTGACTGGATGGACCGAGCAAGTCTGTTTACCACCATGCTCCGAACTTAACACGTGACGATCACGTCCGTTTCCGAAACGCAGGGAGTGAGTGGAAGGACAACCAAAAGGGCACGTAGTCTTGTAGACCCACTACGGTGGTTTTCCTTGTTGCTTCGCTTTAACACCACGAAAAGAACAGGAGGTACCCTCTTGGAGGCGTGTCCTTTTGGAAATCTATATGGCCCTAGATGATCAAGCCAATAGGTCCACCAGGGCCCGTTGTTTCTCAACTAAACTCAAGAAAAAGGGCGCCCATGCTTACTGTGGTGGGTTTTGTGTATGCGTTTTCCTTGTTGCTTCCCTTTAAGACCACCAAAAACAAGACGGAATAAATGTCCGCGCCTCTTAGCAGTTGCCCCCGTTCCCCCCCCTCCCCCCCTCCCCCCTTCCCCCCCTCGCGCCCATTCCCCGTCCTTGAAGTTCTTCTCCTCCTTCGAGGCGTCGTTGAAGAGCGGCACCAGCGCCGTGCTCTCGATGGACAGCACGAAGTGGTGCCCAATGCGCCCCACCTCGCGCAGAGGTTTCGCGCCGAAAAAGGCGCGTGACGTCGTTGTTGTTTGGAGGGTGCCCCCCACATTTTGGTGGAGTGGCCCCATCTGGAAACATGCGTAATTCTGGATGTATGATCAAGTTGTGGCCAAAGGAGGCCTGATAGTCGCGCTAGCAGAATTGCTTGGAAGAATGGGACGGTTCAATAGGTCTGTGGATGCATGTTGCACATTGTGGTTTTCCCTTGGTCGTCCTTTAGAAAAAAACTACAACTGCTCCCCTGGGCGCCCTATATGTTTCTTTAATGGCTCGGTACCCTAGTTTTGGGTTGGTTGAAGAGAAAACCATTTGGAGACAACCACATATGCGTGTCTCTGTTTTAAGGGGATCCCCCAAGACTGTTGTGGTGTTCCTCTTGGTTTCCCTTTAGCACCACCCCAAAAGGGGTCCCGTCAAAAAGGACACAACCACGCTCATTTAGGGACCTGGAAACAAAAGGAAAACAGGTAGGCCGTGAGCACCTTCGCACATGGGACACTGGTTGTCTAGGTCCTGCAGTAGAGAGGTTAGATTAAGGGTACCAACTTTTTTCTGTCGTCTAATTTTGTAGGGGAACCCTCCCAAAAAAAAGGAAAACGGGCACTACTGGGGGACCTAGTTGTTATTCATAGATTCCCATTTAAAAAAAGGGAAACAGCAACAACATGGAACCTTTCGGGGCCATGACAGAAACAAATGAACCCAAAATGGGAAACCAAAAGGTCAGATCCGGTCGATTCGCGAAGTATGAGGACCCCAGAAAAAACCATGTTGCAATGACGTGTCACCCGTCGCCACGTCCGGTCCCCAGCCTTCTTATGGCTCTTTATGAGAATGAGGTAGTAGCCTCACGTTTTTTCCGCGCGCGGCGTGGTGCGTAAACAGACGCAACTGTCGGGGTTGGATTTGGCACCAGTTCGGTGCTGTCGGTGGCTTGAACATTAGAATGTAATTTGAACATGTGTTGAACATGCATTTGGAACATGAATGCAAAATTCGTCACATGCACTCAAAGTATGGGTTTCGAGTTGCCGTTTCAACCCCTGGGTCTCGGTCCAGAAAAGGCAAAATTCACCCGAGCTGCTCCAACAGGACTCAGCCAATTCATGTTGACAGCGCATTAGTAAACCTGCTGCATTCATAAGGGCGTGTTCCCCTTCGAGTGTGGCACCCCCACAAAAAGGGGACGCCCCGTACTAATCAACCCAAGGTTTTTTAAATCCAGGGTTCACTACTGCGTGGCTATTTGCAGACTTGAGAAACGACACTTTTGCTGGTCAGTGGTAAACACACCCTCAAACACATTTCCCCAAAGTGCAAGGCTAAAGATCCAACCAAACAGCGTCCCGAGGTTGGTGAAGGCGATTCAATCTGAATTGGGCCTGAAACACATTGAGTCGCTTTCGCGCGAGAGCGCTCAGATTGAGTGATCCAAATGTCCGCTTGGATCGATCCCTTTCAGGACCGCCGGAACCCCCGTCCCCTGGGTTCAGCTAACCGCAAGAACCATGGGGTCAATACAACCACAACTTGTCCTCGTTTGGAAGTTCATGATTTAAATAAGGGCTAAGTATTCTTTTTGGGGGTTGAACCCAAAGGTGTAGGCCATGTTTGAATAACCATGAGTGAGCCCTAGAGAAGAAGAGTAACTTTGTTTCCTTGGGTTGCCAAGTTTGTGCCGATAGGGTCGAAAGGATGCAACTCTTTTGGTTGCATTACTTACTCCGAGAACGAAAAACACGAACTGGTCCAAAATGATAATCTGTCAAGGTATTCTTGTGGGTAATTGCTCGGCGGACCCCGCTGAAAATGTGTGGGACCACCAGAGATCAAACAACTTCATGGCAACAGCCATAACAAAGAACGAGAAAGCCCGAGCTTTGTTGTCATCGCAATTTGTTATTGACCTAGGGCTTAATCCTGGGGCAAGGTCGGAAGGGTCCAAAAGGGTCCAAACGACACAACAACAACAAAACCTGGAACCGACTGGTGTCCGTGTCGTTGCCCTTCAAACACAGATGAGTCCATGAAACTCAAATTGAGCAATGGGCAACATATCATTGTTGATCTGATCACTATTCAATTTCCTTCAGTCCCATTTTGGTGAAGTGCAAACGTGTCTAAAATGTTAAGCCTGCAATGTACGAGTGAGCAAGAGCAAGACATCCGGATTGATCAACCAGGTGAATGAAGACGGGGGTGCACCTCCTCACGTGATCCGAAACCCTCTCCAATAGGACAAAAAATACTATCGAGACTAGCCGGGGGTTTATCAACCACCCTGGGTCAGTTTAGTCAGTTTGCCAATCAACACCTTGCATTTGGTCAGTTCATCAGCTTGGCACATCCTGACCAACCCGTTTTTGTCAGTTTGCGTCAACAGAAGGTTGTTCGTTTGGGTGCCGCGCACCTAACGAATTCAACCCAAGTCCTTCCAAAATGCCCCCCCCCCTTCAAGTTGTGGGTGCTCGGTTGGGAGATATGCCTCAGGGAGTCCACAGAAACCTTTCCACCAAGTCGCTCACCGCTTAGCCCGCTTAGCCAACAAGCCGAATGTTCGTTGCCCGCCACTTAAAACAAAGAGAGTCAAGAGAGAAACACGTCGGAAAAAGACAAGAACCATGAACTGCACCAAACAGTCTCGACATGTACACCAAACAAGCAAAACACAGCACACATCTCGGTTGCCGGGAGGAAAAAAAAACGAGGGCGAGCAAAGACACCATGCCTGAAACGCCTAAACAAAAACAAGCAGATACCAACTTCCGGGTTCAACCATGGTTGTGGAAAATAAGCCTGCCTGATACCAAAGTGCCAGTCCTATCACTGTCATGCTGGGCTCCCTTTGTATCACAGAAAGTCCTAAAGTCCTATTTGCGCTTGGCTTAAAATAGGGACCACAAAAGAAACCATGTGATTTGTGCATCTTCTCTTTTGTTGTCCTTTAACAGGGCTCCTCATGCTTCCCCTTAAAACATCACCCCCACCAAGGGATACTCACCTTTCATGTTGAAAACCACCCGTCGCTTTCTTCGGACTGCACTGGAATGCAGCCCGAGTCCATGTTCCCCGTAGCGAAACTCGCCCGGAGACGTTGAAAACCACCAAACAGGGAAATCTAGGGGCCCCTGTTTTCAAGATCTTTGTTGCTGTGACCCCTCTGCATGAGGTTTTAGTGGAAAACCCCTTGATTCCCCTAAAAGTTGAAGTCTGAAGATCCAACCGAATAGCTCACCTTTCATGGGCCAAAAAGGTGACGTTGAAAACCGCCAAGCAGGGACATCTGGGGCCCGGGTTTTCAGACGGTCCCAACACGGGCGCCCCCAAAACGCCGAAGCCTTGTCCGTCCGACCCAATTCGTCTCGTCCACACCAAGACGCCCCCGGTGAAGCGGATGAAGCCCACGAGGCCGGAGGCCCTCAGCGCCACCTCCTCCAAACCTCGAGACGGCCATTGGCTTCAGACCCCTGGAGAAAAAACATGTCCGGTGATGGATCCTGGAAAAAAATGTCCGGTGATAATCGATTCCCGTTAAAACCAACAGGGGAAAAGACCCCTGAAAAAAAAAAAAAAAAAAAAAAAAACGACATATGTCCGGTGATAGATTCCCTTTAAAACCAACTAGGGGAAAATATTTATTCTCGGCCAAATGGAAGAAGAGGTGTGACACGTGGCTCTAATGTTAACCCCGGATTAATAAGGTCCTGGTTGATTGATAGGGGGGTGTCCCCTTTTAGCGATCCTGGGTCAACGTTACCAAGCGCCTGGTAGGTTGATACTGTGGACGTTTGGCGGAGAAAAGAGTTGCACGGCACCGGACATGATCGTGTCCGAGCGACACAGGTTGAGACGGAGGATGATTACTTGGAAACGGTGGAAAACCCGTGCTTGTTGGTATTTACAGGGGAATTATGATTCCAGGGAATCGCAGGTGGTGCAGGATTTCGTCCATCCACAGTTTGGGTCTGTCTTTCTTTAGGGGAGCCCCCAAAATTGTGGCTCTCCTCTTGGTTTCCCGGTCCCCTTAACACCACCAAAGCAGACCCTCAAACAAATACACACCCAATATACAATAACCACAAGACCGTGCAGCAGAACCACCTGAAATGGCCCTGACCGATTTTCATTTGGAGGTTAGGGGTAATTTCCCATGTACCCTCCACAAGAGCCAGGGGTGCCAGCTACCAGTGGCCATGTTAGAATCAACCAAACCTAACAAGGGGGGCGGCGCCCTCTTTGATCACTTGGGCTACAATTCCCCCCCCCCCCCCCGAATTTCCCTAGATCTGATTTTCGCTCGCTTGGTTCCAAACATGCACCCGCGCGAAGACACAGCTGAGCTTTCTAGCAGCCTTTTGTCAGCTTACCTCTAATTGGTGATTTGGATTGGTGGTTCGGTGGGAAACACGGGGTGATTTCCATGTACCCTCTACAAGAACCAAGGGTTCAAATCGCCAAACCACCAAACCACCAATTCAGGGGAACCTGATTTTGGTTCCCTTCAACCAACACGCGAAAACAAATCAGGATCTGGGCTGGAGCTCGCCTAAGTGGACGTGAAAGCTTCGCTGGGAAAACGCAACGTATGCTGAGTTCAGGAAACGCAAGGAGACACAAAATTTAAGCTGCCCAAAGGGTTGGATTGGTGACGCTTCGTGTTGCAATTGGTAGCTTTCCCAGATGGTCACCTGATGGTCCATGGGGTGTGCTCTCCAGGATAGTTTGGGCCGGAACGAACAACAAAAACATAAAACAAAACAAACACACAAAACAATACTTCCTCAAAAAAACAAGCAAGTAAGGAAGCAAACACACAAAACAAACAACAAACAAACAAACAAACAAACAAAGAAACAAAGAAGCAAGCAAGCAAGCAAGCAAGCAAGCAAGCAAGCAAGCAAGCAAGCAAGCAAGCAAGCAAGCAAGCAAGCAAGCAAGCAAGCAAGCAAGCAAGCAAGCAAGCAAGCAAGCAAGCAATCAAAACAAATAAAACAAACAATAAGCAAAGAGTCAAAACAGATAACAAACAACTACCGCACAAAACCGACAAACAATACAAAGAATGAACAAGGAAAGCGTTGAACTGGGTGCCACCGGGCCACCGTCGCGGCGCAAAGAGGCGAGGTGTGGCTCCAGCTGATCCTCGGATTCGCGAGTCGCCAATCCAACCACTAAAATCCCGACTCAAATGGGTGGTGAATTCACCTACCCCAAAATGGTGCCATTGGTTTTGACCCACTAAAGTAGGGTCGCAAAGGGGGGGGGGGTGAATTCACCCACCCCAAAATGGGATCCCAAAACGGTTTTGACCCAGCTGGAGATGCTGAGTTGACTCGAAGGTCCCTGAGAGACCTAGATCAACGGTGAACCTTGTTGGGCGCCCGAGAAGTTGGGAAGAAACTGCGAAAAGCTCCGCGACCATCCTTGACCCACTGGAACAAAATATTCACAAAACATGAACAACAACACGATATCATGGATCAACAGAAACATGTGGGAAAGACATCAAACCAAGCACGGACGCTTAGAAGCGGACGCCGCTTAAAGCTCTGGGGCATAGATATCTGCCATGGTGCCAGGGGGAATCGCTGCTCGCCCTCTTGGAGCTCCAGCACCTCTTCCTCGCGTGGTGTTTAGTCTCCCACTCCTTGGGTGTTCGTTGCCAAGTTGGTAAGTTGTTCGTAACCTAGGTTATAATACCCACTTTCATTCATTGTTCTTCTTGTGCGGGCGGGTGCTCGCTGCAAAGTTGAAAGTTGTATCGGCAACCTAGGCTGCAACCCACTTTTGAGCCCCCCTGAGTTTGCCATAAGTCCTGAGCTAGCTTGTATTGGAGCAAAATGACTTTCAGGTTTTCTTTATTTTTGCGGCCAACTGCCAACCCCTGTCTGCTCCAACGCCCGGGACCGGTTGGGACCATGGAGGGCCAAGCTCCAACTAGAGCCCCGGTAGCCCAACTTGCAAACTCGGCTACAGAGAGTAGGCCATAAAAACTAGCCGACACCCCAAACCCTAAATCTGAACCCTAAGACCCTAAAACAAAAACAACACTGCGCAGGGCTAGTATTGTGAAGCCAAACCAAAGCCTAACACCCTAACCTAAACCTGAAACCGAAAACCATACACCTACACCCCAAGCTGAAACCCCTGAGTCCATTCTGACTCAAATCCATTTGTGTGTTTTCCCTTTCACCCAACAACACACCCTTCATTGGCGGTTTCGGGTTTCGTGGTATGGTGTTTGGAGGTGTGGATACTGAGAAAGGCCAGTCATTTTGGCAAATGTCAGCTTCCCCCCAAGCTGTCTTTTGCTCGCACGCCAAAGGTAAAGCGGGATCCACAAAACATACTGCTCAAGGGCATGTCCAGGTCTGGCTTTTGGAGGTACGGATGCTTCTATGCCACCCTCATAAGGCTACAACTTCAGTATACAAGCCTTGCATAAGTGGGGGGCATAAGTGGTCCAGTGCCGCTGGCATGGATTGTCGGTTTGGACAAGTTCGAAGCCCCAGACCACCAGTCCAAACCACCACAGGGTCGCCTGTACCCCATATCTCGGCTGAAAGGAAAAAAGCGCAAATGGGTACTTGTCAACATAAAATGATAATAATTAATAATCAGAATAGTAATAGTAATAATAATGATACAAATAATAAAAATAAAAATAATTAATAAACAACTCTGACAAATGGGTGGATTCGTTTTGGCTTAAGCAGGAAGTTGAGCTTTCGAGCTGACAAAATCCGCGCCGGTCAGCAGCCATAAAAAAGAAGAATAACAAAATAAAAAATAACAAAAACTATAAACACTGGGTTAAACCACACTAGTCCAAGGAAAATTATGTCAAAGCATTGTTTAGTACTGTAAGGGCACCCCATGTCTTGGTTGGTGCAAGATGGGCCCGAAAGTGCTGTCCCTTTTTGGTCTGACCCGAAGATCCGACCATTTTGAACCCAGGACCGGTTTTGCCCATCGCATGTCAAACTCTACTTGCACCGGGACCTTGAACGTGGGCTTCGCTGTCCCTTTAAATCAAACCAAAAAAGGGGTACCCTCAATTGGTCAAATTGAGGAATGCTTGCCATGTCAAAACCTGACTGAAATGGATCCCCAGGACCTTCATAGTGAGCTCGTTTTACCTGGTGAGTTCGCCATTTAAAAAACGGCGGAATCGATGCTGAGCATCACTAAATGCAGCCCAAAACCCGAAATCCGAGAGGTCCGCTGGTTGCTTTTGAGCGCTTCGATTCTGGGTTGCTCTTCTGAACAAAAGGTCGTGATCGACCACTTGCAGGTATGAAAAGAACATGTTGTTTTTTCCAAAAGCTCTCAGGTCACCCCAAAGACCAAAGCCATGTGCCTTCTTTGGGATCTTCAGGCAGCTGTACTCTTTCTTCACCTTGTCGATGCCAAACACCAAGATGGTGTTGCCTCGGCTTTCGACATTTCCCCAGACCTCCGGGCTTTGTAACCCATGCGGGACAGAGAGCAAGTGGCATGGTTGGTTGGCTTCAAGGCACCCCCCCCCCTGCAAAAAGGAGAAAAGGGCACTGGAGGTCTGTTTTTCTGGTCGGTTTGCCTCAATCGCAACCCTCCAACTCTCGTTGTCTCCTTTGAGTTCCGTTTCAACTTCCAAAACTGGGCCCTCCACAACTGGGCCCTCCGAAAAGGGACCCTCCCATTTCTGCCGCGCAACGGAGCCGCCCCCAAGCAACATCCGTGACATGGATGGAGAGGTCAGGAGGCATAGGCGTGGTTTTCTATTCGGGCCAAGACCTCCAGATAGCACCCGTGGCCCCAAAAAAAGGCCACGCCTTTTGGAGTTGAGGATGGGGGGGTTGCCCCTCTAGCACCCCCCAAACCACTGCTTGTTGGAGAGGGGATTTTGGACGTGGGAAAAAGCGGTTGGGGTGCTGGCTCCAAACATTTGTTTTATGGGGAACTCCTCGGGTGTCAATCCTTAAACGGGAAATTCGTAGACACCCCAGAACAAGCTGCCTCAATTTCAAGAACATGGGCCGAGCCCCCTTTGACAGGCCCTTGCACACGTGGCCAGGGATAGGAAGATGACTCAAAGGCCGGCAGCTGACTCCTGTTTATTTATATGAGGTGTCCCTGGGCTTGGAGAATCATCATGTGGATGGTTACGAGATCCATTTCGCACCACCGTTCAGAAACCCCCTGTGAATGATAATATGATTCCCCTGTAAATACCAACAAACGTTCTGGTTTCAACCATGGTTTCCAAGTGGTGCAGGCAGGAACAAACCAACTTTGAAGAAACAAATCTCCATCTGGTGGACTCCCTTAGCTGAACGCTACGGCAACCTTGCAGCCTATAGCTCACTTCCCAGGATGGAAGTAAAAGAAGTTACCCGGACCTCTCTCTTTTTTCACCACTAAAATGGTCCAAGCCTACAAAGCGGCGAAAGTCTGAAACGGAACTCAGGCAGCAGTTGACCCCCAGAAACAGTCGAAATGAGGAGCTCGGCTTCAACTCCTGTCGAAAAATGGCGCTGGCATCCAGCCTCATTCAAAACCAGCGCCATCAGCCGAGCGGCGGCTGCGGTAGACATGATACCGCTGGAAGGGGCAAGTCCGCTGCGGGGGGCCCAGCACGTCGCACATGGCGCGAGGCCCGCGCGAGGCGCGAGGCGCGGAAGGCCCGGGGCGAGGAACGAGGCGAGCGAGATGGCACGGGACTGCTCTTGAAGTCTTGGGTACGTGGCTTTGTCAAGTGCAAGACACCTCCTCTGACTTTCAAGGGGCAACACTTTCAAACTTCAAGGGGCTTCTGACTCCCTTGTTCACATGGAAAAAGAGTTTGAAGCTTGGATATGATGGCTGGAGTGGCTGGACTGGTTGCGGGAGTGGTTGGAGTGGTTGGAGTGGTTGGAGTGGTTGCAGTGGTTGGAGTGGTTGGAGTGGTTGGAGTGGTTGGAGTGGTTGGAGTGGTTGGAGTGGTTGGAGTGGTTGGAGTGGTTGGAGTGGTTGGAGTGGTTGGAGTGGTTGGAGTAGCTAGAGTGGCTAGAGTGGCTAGAGTGGCTAGAGTGGCTAGAGTGGTGAAGTGGTTGGAGTGGAGTGGCTAAAATGGCTGGAACGGCTGGGAGTGGTTGGAGTGGCCGGAGTGATCTGAGTGCTTAAGTCCTTCCCAACAAGTCTGGCCATGGGTGAAAACCCCGGTTTCCCCCCAGTGAACATCCCAATCCAACCACTAAAATAGGAAGCCTAAAACGGGTGGTGATTCACCTACCCACCAAAATGGGATCCGATCCAAAACGGTTTTGACCACCACAGCCGTCTGCCGAAAATCGGAGCACGAGGTGCTTGCATCCGCATCTCGGGGTCATGGGCGACTTGTCGCAAGCTTTGAGCCGGTGCGTTTCGGCGTAGTTTGGAATAAGGGTGCCAACTTTCTTCTGTAGTTTATTTTTAGTAGGGGAACCCAACCCCAAAAAAGGGTAAAAGGGCACTACTGGGGGACCTAGAAGGGCTATTTGGGCCGTAAAGAGGCATAGGATCCTTACCCATCCGTCCAAGCATAAGACCCAAAACTTCGCTGCGAGGCCTCATTTCGTGTAGGCCAAAAGGGAAGAAAGGGGAATTTTGACCTCACGAGAATCTCCGCAAAGCCCCACTCCTGGGTACCCCAAAAGCAAGATGTTCAGACTCCTTTCCATATTGAGTCTACGATGAAAATACGGAACGGGTGCTTATCAAAATTAGGGAGCCTTTGAGGTGATTTGCTGCTGGTTTCCCTCCAACACCATACCAAAAGGGCACCCTACTGGTGGATGGACGAAATCCTGCACCACTTTGAAACCATGGTTGAAATCTTTGTTTGTTGGCATTTGCAGGGGAATCTCATCAGAAACCTGGGTTTCTGAGGTGGTGCGAAATGGATTTCGTAACCATCCACAGCGTCACTGGGTGAATAAGGTGTTGAGTTGCAGGGTTCCCAAACATTTTGGGAGATGCTGTTGGTTCCCTGCCATACCAAAAGGGGAGCCTAGTTTCACAAACTCCCAAAGATGTTGGGAGACGTCGGGAATGGATATCCCGCTCAAACAGTCCGAGATGCGTAGAAGGAGACGTCTCCTCAGCTCGTAGAAGGATCGACGCCATCCACCAGAACATCTGTAACTGTAATTTTGTTGAAGGTACCCATTTCGGGTTGGTTCTCTTTTTTGTTTCGGCGTTTGCCTGGGCAGGTCCCTCCATTCTTGAGAAACCACCCTCTTTCTTTTGGCGGGTCTGTGGTTTCCGGGGGTGCCTGGTCCCGGGGGGGGGGGGGGGATGGGGTTGAGACGTATTCATCTGGGCAAGCTACTCCACCAGAAAGGAATCCCGCAACCCCTTCGTCTCAGCAAATCTGTCACAAGCTCCTAGTCCGTCAAATCCGACATGGAAGTTCACGACAAATCCAAGCGGGGCCTTGCCATTGCTGGGAGGGCCAAACTGATCCCGTAAAAGCTTAACCTTTAGTGGATTAACTGGAAACCCCCACTGAAATCCTGAAAAGCGTAAAAACCTGGGGAGACGCCCAGATTGGCATAGGGCAATGCTACATCTATGCAGCACATGTGATCTGGACTCGAGAAGTGCTCCAAAACGGGGACTCTGTTGACCAGCAAAACTCGGACACAAGTCGCTCTGTTGGTGTAGGTGTTCGCAGATATGGCCCATGACCCCTTTTTAGGCTTGAACCCTATCCGGTCCCCGAAAGGTACCCGCAAAGGGGTTAGCAACCAGAAGGGGAAGTGAGAAAGGGATATGTGCTACTTGGATGTTCCGCCCCGAAAGTACCTGGTTAGCCACAGGGGTTACAGCCCTGGTAATAACCAGGTTAAACACCCAAGTCTTGAAGTACTCTTTCCCAAAAGGCCTGTCCCAAAGGGACCTAGAGTTCTACGCAAAGCCGCTCTTTTGGAGCCTTGCACAAGGTACACCCTCCCCCCAATTCAACAAGGGTTAAGGGTTGATTGAAGGGTCAACATACCCACTACATATCTTGAGGTAAACATTTAAGGGGCGACCCTCGCTTCAGAGGTTGAGCCCTTTGAGCCTGTGTTTATCGTCAGCCGCCACGACTAAAGACAATAACAAGAAGTCATTGAAACCTCCCGGTTGCTCCTTTGCTCGTTTTGCAGTAAATCATAGTAAAACAGATGACCCCTAAACTGCCATCCGTCCCCAAAAGCCAGCCGGCTACCCTGAAGGTCTCTTCAGGCTAGCAGCAACCCTGTCATTCAATTTGATATCTGGCCGTGGCTCAAAAAGTGGTACCAACTTGTGGGCCCCTTGGATTGAAACAAAGACCAACACCTGCGTAACCCCGGCCCTTGAATTTTGAGCCACGCCCATCTCTTCAACCAACACCCACCAGGCTGTGTCCCAGCAGCCACCCATGGCCGCCAAGTGCACCGCAGTGTTCAGAGCGCTGCCGCCTCGCGCCGCACGACCCGAACGGTTCGAGCTTCAAAGGCCCACAGTCCGAGTGAGCTCCTTTCGGGGTCCCAAATGGATGTGGTTTGCTTTTAGGGGAGCCCCCCACCAGAAAAAAAGGAAAAAGAGTGGATGGTCCTTTTGGCTTTGCCAAAAACAAAAGGGACCAATCCAAAAAAGTCAGACAACCCCCCTCCCCCCCCCCCCGAAACCTCGCGAATGAGTGCTGGTCCCTTTGGGTTTCCTTGAAACCGCCCAAAAAAAAGGACCAACTAAAAAAAAAAGACAGACTCAGCTGGGTGCGGCTTTTTCTTTCGGGGAACCCCCTGTTTTTGGGGTGGTTTTCCCTCTGGTTTCCTTGAAACCTACAGAGGAAAGGGTACAACTGGCAAACCCCGCATTTGAAGATGTCCCCTCCCTCCCATCCATCCCACCTGGATGCAGCTGGATGCTTTGAGCCTCCGCATCCCCGTTCCACTTTGGCATCTGCGACACCCCCGCCGCCAGCACGTCCTCAGCGGCGCGGCCTTCCGTCGTGCGCTCGCGGGGATCACTGGAGTTCCCCGTCAAACGTTGATCAGTTTGCGGAATGGCTCCATTGAAACCGCCACTTTGTGAGGGACCAAAAAGGGAAAAGGAGGAACCCCTGACTTGCCCAAACAGCCCGAAAATAAACAAATACCTTTTTGGGGCCACTGCAAGAAGACGGCGGGAAGTCAAAAGGCAAACAAACATGTGGTCGAGTCGCTTTGGGCAAATTCTGCCTCAGCTTTTGCCCACATCCAAAATGACATGTTTCATTCTGGTCATTGTCAGTAAACCCCGAACAGGATTCCTCAAAGGATACATCCAAAATCCACTTTGCAAGGGGATTCAATAAATGAGCTAGCAAAGCTGATGCTCTAACTGGCCCAAATGTACCCGCTAAGGATTCCTGTTGAACAGCAGACATTGCCGTGGCTCAAAAAAAAAGAACCAGAATGGCACCTTGGTAAGTGGAACCAAAGACTCAAACCTGCCTAACCCGACTGTGGATGGACGAAATCCTGCACCACTTGGAAACCATGGTTGAAACCATTGTTTGTTGGTATTTACAGGGGAATCGTATCATTCACAGGGGTTTCTTAGGTGGTGCGAAATGGATTTCGTAACCATCCACGGTAGCTCTTCTAATTTTAACCCTAGCTCTTCCAATTTTGAGCCACACCCATTTTTTTGAGACCCCACCAAACAAAAGGGGTGGATTCAAAGGGAAAACTGCTTTGAGCCACAGATATGTTCGACGGCACACTCCCACCAGGCGTCCACCAGCGCATCCCCCACCACATGGAAGGCCACACCGCCGCCATCGGCATCCAGACGCGCCATGGGGATCAAAATCAGTGTGCGTTCACCGGCCCGAACTTCCCCCTGCAAGCAGCCACGTGCTTGGCTGGCTGGGAGTCTAGCCAGGGCCTCCAGTAGAGGCTAGAATAAGGGTACCTTTTTTTCTGTCTATTGTAGTAGGGGAACCCTCCCCCAAAAAAGGGGAGAGAAGGGCACTACTGGGGGACCTAGCTAGGAGAAACGAAGAAACCGCAAGAGGAAAGGGCGAAAGGGTTAGTTGGATTAGGGCCCTCCCACCCAAAGAAGGCTTCTTAGAACCTGCTTCGGCGATAGAAGGGCTCAGAACCATGTAGGGCAGCGCTGATGATTGGCCCAAGGTCATGTCTTAGAAAATGAAGACTCGGACCTTTTGAAGTAACACAAGCAAACAAATAAATAACTGTGAAGTTGGCGCAAGGACTGTCGTAGATGTAAAGAACAATCATCCAAGATGCAACTTGTGCACACCCCACCAAGGCAAGCGCAATGCCGGACAATTCCCCTTCTATTGAGAATCTTACGCCACACGTGTTCAATATCTCAAACATTCTGTTTCTTGCGATGTGTAGCCTGTCTCAACAGAGAACCAAAAACTCACCTAGTCAAACATACTCACTTAATGTCAAATTCAGGTCAGTCTGGAGGACCATTCCAGACAGGAGTGGCTCTCCCTATAGGAAGGACATGTTGCCCTGACTGGTAGGCTCCGGAATAATCAAAGTTCACATTACATGTGTTCCTTTCAAGGGAGTCAGAATCAAAACCTGGTAATATAATGGTCTGCCCAAGACTATGTCAAGAACTCACCATGGCCACAACTGTATATTGTGGGGACTATGCTGTATTGATGTTCATCCCGGGTTTTAGAAAGCATGTGGGTTCCGCTTCT